GATGGCTATATGTTCAAATCCACCCACACGTGTATCAATAATAGAATCGTGATGGTCTTGTGGCGGTGTAGGCCCATTAGCGCTCTCCGGACGCGACGTTCGAGCTCTGTTCACAAGTGGGATTTGGGTCACGCACGCACGGAATTACTAGACACTTAACGGACACCGGGCTATTCCGAACACACACTGTACGTGTGGAGTAAGATACGCTGAAACCGGGGCACTGGCACATACAATGCACTGGAATGCGATCTATGGGCTTTTCCCGTCGCTTGTGCGAGTTTGGTCATTATTATGGGGATCTCGGATGGCCACTAAAGCACAAGAAATTAGCCGAATCGAGTACTCTGCTCAAACCTAGTATCAGGGGGGTCTTGTATGTACTAGTTGGGACTGTCCGAGGCCAATCTCCGACTCAGTTGATAAGTTTCAACTTCGTGGCATCAAGGTTCCCCGGCGTTGTTGGTCTGCCGTAGATTCGGACCTAGACTGCGATATGATTAGTTAGTATTCGCTATGAATCTTTCAGTGCACGGATCAGCGGATGCTCTACACCACGCCCTTATTAGCTCTGTCCGTATATGAAAGGAACGTCCCCTATCATATTATCGGGTGATTAATTATTGAGAACTACCGTGTCTGCCGTGGAAGTCGGGGAATGGTTCCATCATATATCTCAAGAGGCAGGGTTTCGTTCTCATTGTGGTATTCGCGCGGGATTTCTGGTTGCGCAATCGTTGTGGCTTTACGTCGCTAAAGCACTGGGTCTCTCTTATCAGGACGTATGCATTTTAGGAAGGGAGTCCGAAGGTATTTCTCGCTATAGTAATTCGTTATTTTGTGAGCTGGATTTTAACCACTCATGTTAATACAATGGTCTCATCCAAACGTAAGCTTGTTTTGAATCACACGAACAAGCTACTGTCTATTATTGCTTACCTAGCGATTAATAACACCTACGTTTCCTTTTCTGTGTCCTCCTTACTAATTGATTTTGAATCTCTATTTTGTACTGTAGGACTTGAAGGATTTCTTCAGAGAGTACGGACCCGTTACTTTCGCTGATGCCAATAAGACTCGCGACGGTGAAGGGTAAGCTCTTTTACGCACTCTAGTAGACCACAGTACTGTCTCATTGTTTCAGTCTGTCCCCAGTGTGCATTTCGGTATCTAATCTATGATGTATATTCCGGATTTCGCTCCAGAGTCATCGAGTTCAGCAACTATGATGATATGCGTAAGGCTTTGAAGGAGGCCGATGGCAGAGAACTAGATGGCTACCGTATCCGCCTCAGTGAACAGAGCACAAGCCGCGGTGGTGGTAGAGGAAGAAGCAGATCTCGTAGCCGCAGTCGCAGTCGCTCTCCCCGGGGCGCTCGCAAGTCCAGAACTAGATCCAGATCCAGATCCAGATCCAGAAGCCCGTAAGTCACCTTTGTGTTTTGGTATGTCGCAATCGCGGGTCACCAGTATGTGGTTGATCATTAAACCCCAATCTATTCCAAACATCACTGGGTACGGCCCGCATTGAGTGCCAATTATGTTAATCAATTCCAATTCTGCTCGCCACTAGTGTCCGAAGGAGCCGAGACGTGTCGAAATCGCCCAAGCGCGATTCCCGGTCGCGCTCGCGCTCTCGATCTCCCAGAATGGATGTTGACGACGATAAGAAGCTCGGCGACAAAGAGGATTCGAAGCGTTCCAGATCACGCTCTAGATCCCCCACGCCCAGGAAGGACAGCCCACGCTCCAGGAGTAGATCCCCTGTAGCTGCGGAGGCCAAGGGTGATGAAGGCCACAAGAGTGACTGATGCGGATATTTTTTAATGTTACACAGACTAGACTACGGCGTGGGTGCGGACTGGTGTAGAGATACGGCTGCATATGGCTTCGATTAGTATCGCACACGCCACAGAACGTCATCGATTGATTTAGTCGGCAGCAGACTAGGTGTGGAGTCTAGCCGACGTGTACCTGCGGTTGGGCTGCACATAGTTATCCCACGTATTAAATAAGATTTAGGACAGAGTGAAGCGATTTATTCTTTGGTATATTGGGTTTCACTGTAAAACTAGCATATTGCGCCTAAAATACTAGTGTATCATTGTGAGACTTCGTGTAATAGTTGAAGCTATGAGGTTTTAGCAATTTGAAGGATATCTATGGTAGTTCTGTTGCTTCGTTGCAATTACATAGTTCTTCAAAACAAATTGACTTTTGGATTTTGGAACGTTGCCGATGGCAACCAGAATATCCTACTTCAAACTCTCCAACACGCTACTATCAAAGCCTTCTGGATCAGTAGTCTATTTATATATTTATAATATGTACTTTATCCCATTTCAAAAGTTTCCTACAGCTCTATAAATATCTCTATAAAATGTACTTTCTTCCAATTCCAACAACAGCGCGTCTCCTACCTAAATAGTAGACTATGCACATTTCTATAATATGCACTTTATCCCACTTCAAAGGGTTTCAACAGCGTATCCCATAGCCCTCTGAATTAGTAGGCTGTACATTTCTCTATAATATGTGCTTTATCCCGGTTCAAAAGTTTTAACAGCGTATTTCATAGTCTTCTGAATTGGCAGGCTATGTACATCTCAATAATATGTGCTTTATCCCCCTTCAAAAGTTTTAACAGCGTAGTTCATAGTCTTCTGAATTAGTAGGCTGTGAACATCTCTATAGTATGTACTTTATCCCATTTCAAGCAACAGCTTATCCCCTAGCCTTCTAAATTAGTAGGTTATGCATAT